GGATCGTTTAACTGTAACGAGGGGGTTGCGAGTTCGGGTGGAGGAGAATGTTAGAGGGTTCTTGTCCCACATCTGATCTGGATAGGGATGGTCTTGGGCTTATAAGGGCGGTTATGCAGTTCCGCCTAATAGTTTAATCTTTTGGGTTGGATGGCAAACATCTGGCCCGATGATTACTTGATGGATCAAAGTTTTTTGTAGGTTTATACTTGGAAACATTTCAATAAGGAAGTTCCTAAAACATTTTTCATGCAATATTAAAAACAGTTAAGGGAATCAAAGTAAGATTGAAATATGAAATTTAGAAACCCTAGATTAGCATGCATAAACCCTAATTTTGTGAGTGTATCACTGTGTTAATTTACCTTTATATCCCTATAGATGAAGATTACCAAATTACCCTTTAATGTAGCATGCATTCCATCTTTGACCTTGGGAGGTGTTGCATGATGTTATTTTTGGAAAATATCATTATAGGAGTGATACAGGAGGTAAATAGCACCAACTAAATTTTTAAAATTCTAACCTTCACTAGGAATTGAAATAAAAGTTACTGACTCTAGTTTAATTTACGAAATTTGTCAACATATGTTATGATGACTTAACACATTCTTTTTGAGTAGATATAAACACACTCTTTTTAAATTTTTTTTAGTTTTTTTTTTTTTTTATTTTATTTTTTGAAAAAAATAAACACACTCTTTTTGAGTAGATATACTAATATGAATTGGGCTTCATATTAGAAATTAAGTGACTTTAATTAGTATAATCCTAAGAAGTATGGACATGGACACGATACAACACGAATACGCTGACACGTCAAATTCTAAAAAGTAGGACATGGATACTGCGTGAACATGACTAATGTAAATATATATTTTTCGCTAGCATTCTTAAAACTCTTTTTTTTTTGTTTTTTTTTTTTTTAATTTTTTTTATATCTATTGAGTAAGAAAATTATAGAATTTTAGTTACTTTATAATTTTTATACTAAAGTTAGAAGGTGAAAATATTTGAATATCACAAAGAATATATCATATTATATGTGTGTTATATAGCTATTATATCTTGTCATTGTAGTTATGTTTTTGTTCATATTACACACTATGACATGTATTTAGTGTCATTTTTTTATTTATAAAAGGTTAAACACTTTGATATATGTTTATAATGTTGTTTCTAGGATTGCCAAGTCTGCCATATGTTCTTTTTATATAAGACTAGAATATGTTATATAGTGTTTGGAATGTGTCGACCAAGTGTCTGAGATGTGTCAATCAAGTGTCTGAAATAATAAAAATTATTTTCAAATTATGGACATGCTCATGAAGCTTTGGAAACCTATCCGGGAGTGTCCATGAAGTATCCGTGTCCAACACGGACACGACACCTCATAGAAGTGTCCGTGCTCCTTAGGTATAATCCATATGAACTTATTAAAGTCTAAAGATAAATACACAATAGGACAATTTCACAGAAAATACGATTCAAAGATTGTTTTACTTCCTATGTCCAGTAAAATTAAAAAAATAATTTTGATTCCTAAAACATAAAAAATAGAGATAAGACTAAACTTGCGGCAATCTAGCTTCAAAATAAAAATAAAATTTGACTTGTAATTGTTAGGGAAATGGATATTTTCAAAAATTAGAAGAGGGCTTTTCATCAAATGATCTTGATCCATCTCTAGGAGCTACTTTAATGCATGAAGAAGATGATGATACAATCATTAGATTTAGTAAACTTAGAGGCTTGAGTAAGCCTCCAAATCATCCACAAAGGGAATGTTCTCCCTTATGAAGATCACTTTAGCTCCTTTCTTCCTCATTAGGTCACCACCTTCATCATGGTAGTCTTGCCTTTAGGAATCACCTATATGCTTCACTGAAAGACCTTGGATGCATAGCTTATGGGAGCCTCCATTGGATGAGAACACAATTCCTAAAATTGTAGAGAGAAATATTTATCTCCACACACTAATGATGCCCAAAAGCCTACTAATCAATACATAGTTACATGTATATATACTCATATGGTGTGTCAAATGTAATTCTCAATCCCTACTATTAAAGTGCTATCTCTAATCTAATGGGCCTCTAATATCAAGTTGGGCTATAGGTGAGAATCCTTTGGGCTTACTATTTTCTTGGCTCTAATGAATTAATAATTGACCCGATCCATTATACCATGTACCTAATTCAATTAATTCATAAATTAATTTCTACTGCCCAAAAAAAAAAATTAATTGACCTCCAATCAAATAGTAAATAACCACTAAGTCAATATTGCACTTTTATCCTTCTATGCATAATTAGCTATCGCATAATTGAATCCATCAATCAAACCACACAATTAATATATTTATTTTGGTTCCTCTATGCATAATTAGCTATCACATTATTGGCTTGATAACAATAAAACATTTGTTTGACAAAAATAATAATTTAGTAAATAAATACATTAAAACCATTTGACCTAAACACATGAATGCCTTGGAATTTACTTTGTGATCGACCATAATCAACACAAAATAAATATAAGTAGCAACGATGCAATTATTGAGAATATAACCCTCTAACTATTAATTACATAACTATCCTAAGTGTCGGTAGGTTCCGCTAAACAAATTAAAGTAATTATTAATTAATAAAAAGTCTATACTTCATGCCATGAAGATGATAGGGAGCAATTGCATACGATGGCTCTCGCAATATATCTCAACCTATCGCGGATTCGGTTCAAGTCTTAGTTAATTAAGTGTCCATCCTTAATTACCGACTATTAACTATTTATGATTGCTATTTACATTCTAATATTGATTGCCATCACATACATATAAATATATCTTGCAACCAAGTGGACATATTCAATCCCATCATGAATCGAAAATATAATACATTAACATTCACCAATTTTATAATACATAAATCTCATTTCAGATAAGGAACAATGCCTCTGTAATCCAAGTATGATTTTGCTATGCCAGGGCATACAAATCCCTACAGTAATGCCATCACGTTAGGAATAATCATGCTTAGCTATCGCTACGGGCAAGTATATTAGTGGGAGTGAAATTGATAGTTGTATAGGTTGTTAAGGACCACGCTGGTCTTATATACATCATTATGGTCTATTATAGTGTCTTCATTGCCATTACAGACTGTTAGGACCAATTATAGTATTTTAATTTGATAGTAACCTTAAAATATGCTTAATCTTATAGGATAATCATCATTTAAGAACTTTTACTTTGTCAAAATCCTCTGAGCTCTGAAGAAATTCTTATGCTTTTTTAATGAAGATTGAAATAAAGGAAGTGGAGATTGACCAATAAACTTCTTCTTTTTCTTAGTGTTGAATGGAGTTTCTAACTCTCATGGACATATTCGTTTTTATTATGGCAAATGCTGTGAATCAAAAACAAATCACGAAACACGTCGAAAAAGTAAACATGCCACACACAAAGAACACAGTTTTTAGTGTGGTTCGACAGAAGTTGTGTAAACCCTAAAAGATTATATATATCGGGCTACAAGACAGGACTAAACTGGGTCCACGACCATCAAGCAAAAAAAAGGGCAAAATATATATATATGTTTTGTTGGGGGGTGAGGGCACACAAAGCTCAATCATCATTTCGAAACCGGGTTGCAATGCGACCCGGAACCTAATTTGGGCCACAACATCACAGTTTTCCAAACACACAATTATCATCCTCTTTTGACAAGGAAAATATCGCTTGATTATTTCCACCTCACACCAATTATCTAAGCAAGAGAAAATTTTCATCTTGGGATAAATGTAGTTTGGGTGTTGGAAAAAATACGAGAGGACAGTATTCAATTTCGATGCTAAATTTTTTAAAAATATTATGCAATGCCTTCCAAGCAAATTATTTAGATCAGAGTTATACGGGCCATCCTGCCTTATCTTATTGCAAAGCGAATGAAGATGGCTTTAGCACTCTGAAAATAGCAAAGTGCTGAATTTAACCATTTCGTGTTATTTATTTATTTATTTTTGAGTGACAGGCAAAAGATTTTTGGTGTTGGAGCTTTATGACTCTTCAAAGAGGGTGTCACAACCATGCTTCCTTAGCACAGCCGATAAACAATAGCAGTGTGCCACATCCAATTGTTTAAAGTCCTGTTGTCACATTTGTTACTGCTTATCTCTTGCAAAGTTAAACCAGTTACCCTTTTCCTGTTGCTCAACATTCTTATGTGAATTTCATGAAAGAGTTCATGTTTCCTTCCACAGAACTCAAAATCATCACCTTACCCCATACGTTGATACCCCCCTTATGGTGTGGAGTTTACGTTTTACTATTTCCACCTCCACCCCCTCAACACACCACCACCACCACCACCACATGTAAAACTTAGGGAGTTGGATAATTTGAACCTTGTTTGCTGCTTAAAGTTGAATGCCAATAGAACTTGTTTTTAGTGACATCTAATCGTTCCTTGCATTTTTTAATCATTTGCCATCTTATTCAGTGTTAGTTATTGTGCTCTCGCAACAGTAAATAGGACAAAGATATAAAGTCCTCAACCCATAGAAGTAAGAGGAAATTGGAAGGCAATTGAAGTGGGTCATGGCTTTCTTTACTTTTTATGGTTTTAGTTTATAGAATCTGTTGTACTTCAAATATTCTTTGATTTTAAAGATATAATAAATTAAATGTCCACTGCTGTAGAGTTCAGTTGTTGGAAGAAGACTTGGGTAGCCCTGATTCAGGTCAATTTTGCATTTAATTCATACTATGAGATGATATAACTTGCTTGAAGTACCAAGGATTTGTGGAATGCAGCAAAGGTCAAAAGGGAGAGAGGGCTACCTTGAGGTTTTAATTTTCATATATAACGACTCAGTTAATCATGGTCCTGGTTTGATTTTTCACATTTTGTGCTAGAAGAGTTCAGTGGATGATGATTGTTGTTCTGTTTCTTTAAATATGAATATTTGTTATCTATTTAACCTAAATTGCATATATGCAGAAATAAATTGGACAAGGTTATATCAAGTTCCCCCAACTAATGGTAGGAAGTCAAAGGTGATAAAAAGGCAACTGATGGTGCGTCCACGGTATCCTCCTATCATCTATCATGAAAGTGAAATTCCTAATGTCAAGACCGATTCAGAAGTGGCAGTTATCGTTGATGGTGCCTGGAAAGTAGGGGACTTAATTGATTGGTGGACTACTGATTGTTATTGGTGTGGACGAGTGACTCAAATTTTGGGCAACGACAAGGTTCAGGTAATACTTCTAAACTGTTCCAACTCATACACACTGCCATTCAGTTAGCCAGTTTGAACCTCTTATGATGTTAATGTCTTTTTGTTGTAAATTATGAAATAGAAGTGAAGAGAGAAATGAAACAAGAAGAACACATATATTACGTCGTTCAGCCACTTGGGCCTATGTCCACGGCACAAAGAGCCGAAAGGGCTACACCACTTTTATAATTGCTCTCTCAACTCATTCACAATACAATAGTGGAGGCTCCTTCATTTAGGAGAATAAATGATGAGAATGGAAAGAGATAAAATAGGAAACAAGGAGGATTTTTCTCCACTAATTCATCTAGTAACAGTAAATCTTCAATAATAGGAAATAACTTAAATTACTAGAAGGTTTTCCTCCACTGATTTCTCCATCAAATCTTCAATACTTTTACATCATGTGGATGCGGTGTTTAACATATAAAGATTTCATGATGTTTCTTAATATTTAATTTATGACCTTTTTTGAATATTTACTCAAGTAAAATAAACCACTTTTTACTTCTTTATTTATTTATTTCATTTTATTGCGTCATGTATTTTGCACTCTCGAAGCTACTTCATATTTTGACCATTTTATTTTGAGTACTTGCTATCAATTATATTTGTACATATGCATAGAGATCTAGATTATGATAACAAGTCCTCGTAGAAGAATTGATGATGCTGAATGTCCTCTTGATATATATATGCCCTCTCTCCGGAAATTGTATCAAGTGTTCTGCCAAGGTCACTAGAGTGAATATTTTTCCTCATTTCTTTAATCTCTCATTTAATGTTAGATGAAAAGGTAGTTTTGATGACCGATTTTCTTGTAAGCTTGCGTTAATTCGGCCCTCTTTATTCTTGTTAATATCTTAATATAACTTAGAAAATCCAGGTGTGACTACATCGGGGCATTTAAGTTGCTTTTAGAAGTTCTTTTTATTTTTGTACAGATTCTCCTCAATTGAAGCATCAATTCTATATAACATCGACAAAACTCATGAATTGTCACTTGTTAGTAAATACAACAATTGTACTTGGAGATTGGGTAACTTGTTCATAAATACCAACCTGGAGACTGGGTGTGGTAATGTCGTGATTAAAAGAGATTGTTCTGTCTTGGATCCTATGAGATATTAATTCCTGAGATATATTTAATACTGAAATCAGAATTTGCTTGTACTGTTCATTATTTTTAGTTTTTGTATGATCGTGCAAGTGTGGAAAATGGTGGCAGCAGCCAGTCTTCTTTAACTTCATGTTTTGTATATAAGAGTGATTTTTCTCATAACCAAGGATTCGCCCATGTCACCATATGAGCATGAGTAGGAATTGACCATTTTATAGAGAATAAATCATCTTCTAGTCTTTTTATTGCTTATAATGTTCTGCGAGTTCATGCAAGGTACTTGTATAAAAGATATAGGTTTATTAATATCGTATTTATATTTATAATTTTTGTAGCCTTATTTCTCTAGATTTATTTGCTACCGCCTCCTCTGGGTGAAGGTTTATCATATGAAGTTTTCTGCAAGGATCTACGCCCATCCTTGGATTGGTCTCCAGAATGTGGTTGGACAGTGCCTACTCCAATGGTAGCTCCCTTTGTTCCTCTGTTTGCATATTTGTATCTACGTGTTTTTTCCTTTTTTCTTTAATTCAATCTTAATTTCAATGTTTTGTATTTTCTGTTGTTATTCTACTTGCACATTGTTCTGTTAGTATTCTACATAATCAATACTTTTGTGACGACCACTATGGGCGGGTGTGATGTAGGCGAGTACTGGCAGGCTATAGGGTGTCATGATTCCACATCGCTTGGGAAAGGTGAAGTGCTATATGTATGTTCTACACCCTTCTTTTAACATAACACGTTTTAAAGCCGTGTTGGCCATGAACCCATCACGGAGTTAAGCATGCTTAACCTGGAGTAGTACCAGGATGGGTGACCCTCTGAGAAGTCTTTGGTCCAAGGGAACCAAAAGCGGACAATATTGTGTCTGGATTAGGTGAGGATTGCTACAAATGGTATCAGAGCAGGAACCTCGCCGGAAGTGTGGCTGGGAGGACGTTGGGCCCATTTGCCCGGGGGGGGGGGGGGGGGGTTGATTGTGAAGACCTATGTGGGCGGGTGTGATGTAGGCTACAGGGTGTCATGATCCCACATCGCCTGGGAAAGGTGAAGTGGTATTTGTAGGTTTTGTTGACTTTGAGAATGATCAAATCAAGAGTAAATTATAAGAAGAAGAAGGAGGATAAGAGAAAAGGAGAAAGAGATGGGGAAAGATAAAAAGAATACTTTCATCTTTCCACCACATTCTATTTATACTAACAAGTTTCAGAAATTACACATAAGCCCCAATATGATATAAGTAATAACAAATAAACCCTTGACAACACAACCCCTCAAGCCGGTGCAAAGATATCTACTATACCCAGCTTGACTAACATATTTTCCAAGCAAGTCTTGCTCACACCCTTAGTCAAAACATCAGCAACCTGATCATGTGTGTTGACGTATGGAGTACAAATCAGCCCAAGATGAAGCTTTTCCTTGATGAAGTGTCGATCGACTTCAATGTGCATTGTCCTGTTATGTTGAACTGGATTGTGGGCAATGCTAATAGCAGCCTTATTGTCACAATACAACTTCATTGATTCGCAAACAGGATAATCCAACTCACCTAACATCGTTCTTAGCAATAACAACTCACAAACTCCTCCATGTGCCATGGATCTGAACTCCGCCTGTGCACTAGATTTGTTTCTTGATTCGCCATGAAACAAGATTACCTGCAACAAACGCGCAATATCCTGAAGTAAATCATCGATTTGTCATAGACCCTTCCCAATCAGCATCAGTATAGGCTTCAATACGCAAGTGGCCATGATGACCAAATAATATCCCCTTACCAGGTGAACCCTTGAGGTAGCAAAGAACATGATGAGCTGCCTCAAGGTGAGGTGTACGTGGAGTATGCATAAACTGACTAATTACACTAACAACGTAGGTAATATCCGGGCGCGTGAGAGATCGGTAAATCAGTCTCCCAACCAATCGTTGAAATCTTCCCACATCATCTAATGGGTCTCTATCTACATCATTAAGCTTATAAATTAATTTCTCCAAAATAGAATAACCATTCTCATTGCTGTGTTTGATTAGATCAAATAAAAAGCTGGAATGGAATGATTTATAAATTAATTTCTCCAAAATACCCTTACTTGTAATATATCAGTTATATTAAAACATATTCTTATTATATAATAAAAGTAGCTTATACCAATTGATGCTTGTGCCGTTGACTAAAGATGGTATGACTGACAGTTGGTGGGTGATGTTATAGGTAGTGTTTATAGATATATGTGTATATTTAAATTGATATACGAAGTATATGTTTATATATTGTATATACATTTATATATATATATGTATATCTGCAAGTGAATCAGCGGGTAGAGCCGAACAAAAAAAAATCCATAAAAAAAGAGAGCAGCTAGCAACAGTGCAGATGGCATAATCTAGCGACCAAACGCGGGTGAACCTCTTATATTCTTTTCTATCTTTGGTTTTTCATCTATTCCATTCTTCGAACACTCTTTTTTTTATTTTTATTTTTTATTTTTAATCCCATGGCAAGACGGTTGATTCCTTTGATTCAAAATATCAATCTTACAGAAGCAGAAAAAAGCAAAGAATGGTTGCAGATGGCCCCATTCAAAATATCGACAGCCCTGCGCCACTTTCTAATAAAGAGAAAATCAGGGTTTCGGTGGGAACAAATTGCAAAGCACAAACTGCAAATAGAGAGCGAGATATATATATATATATATATATATATATATATTCTCCATGGTATACAATGTAGTGTGAAGAGATAAAGAGGAGAGAGAGAGAGAGGGTGTATAGTCACAGTGATAGAGGAGATATGGAGAGAGTCTGCCAGAACTGTAGAAAAGAATGCATATGGGTTTTTTTGTCTTTGCATTTTATTATTTTAATTTAGTGGGAATGGAATGCCATTCCACAAGTCCAAAAGAGGAATGGTTATTCCATCTAAAAGCTAGAATGAGCATTCCAAGGGAATGGCCATTCCACTTTTAAAGTGGCAGTGCTTCTTGATGAAGAGAGTATGATGTGCCTGACTCTGTGTGTACTTTACTCTTTTCACAGAAGTGCTGAACCTCTCAAACCAAGCACATGGCGACTTTTTTAAGCCATACAAGGCTTTATTTAGCTTGCACACCAAATTCTGACCATTTAAAAGCTTAAACCCCGATGGCATAGTCGTATACATCTCTTCCTCCAAGTCACCATGAAGGAAAGAATTCTTTACATCCAACTGATGTAAAAACCAATTCAAATTAGCTGCCAAAGAAAGGAGGACACGTATAGAGTTCATCTTGGCAACTGGAGCAAATATTTCTAGATAATTAGTCCTATAGGTTTTTTTTTTTTTTTTTTGATAAGTAAAATGTATAAAAGGCGTTCAAAAGGGGAACGCGTCCCAAGCTATACAAAAAACTGAAACTATGATCTCAAGGAGCCCACAAAGTCCACAATATCCTCAATGGAGGAAAAATCTCTCCCCCAACCCTAACAAAAAAGAGTACAAATAATAGAGAATTTCAACACCCTAATGGAGGCCTCCTTCCCATCAAAAGATCTTTTATTCCGCTCTTTCCAAATGCAATCAGTCCCATAGGTTTGAGTGAAGCCCTTTGCAACTAACCGGGCTTTATATCTCTCAGTTGTTCCTTCTGCATGATACTTTATTGTGTAGACCCATTTGCAGCCTACTGGTTTCTTACCCCTAGGTAATGAAACAATATCTCAATTACCATTCTTCTCAAGGGCCTTCATCTCTTCAATCATAGCTTCCTTCCATGGAGTTTGATTGAGAGCATCTGAAACACTAGAAGGAACAGATACAGAGGAGATACACGAAGTGAAAACACAATATGTTGGAGATAAGGCATCATAGAATACAAACTGAGATATGGAATGTTTTGTACAACTACGAACACCCTTATGATAGGCAATAGGGACATCAAGATCAACAAAAATGCTATTGGGAAAAGAATCAGGAGTATCAATGTCAACTGAGGAATTACCTGGATCGAGGGAGACTTTTTGGTCCTGGGGTGAGTCAATGACTTGTTTTGCCCTCCTAGTGTAGGCAATTGGCTGCTTTCCTTGCTGCAAATCATTATTGTTACGAGGACTTGATGTAGGCACCTTAGTTAGAAGCTCCCCCTGAATGGGAAAAGGCAAAGGAAGGGGGCATTCCCTCTGAATGGACAACATATTCTCTACCTGTATAGTAGTCTCCCCCAGTAGAGAATCCCGAGCAGTGGAAAAAAAAAAGGAACAGACTCAAAGAATGTAACATCCATGGAGACAAAGCGACGACTAGTGGCAGGGTTATAACACCGATACCCTTTCTGAGTGGCAGAGTATCCAAGAAAGACACATCGGATTGCCTTATGGTCCATTTTGTCCTTGCGATGATGAATGTGAACATAACAAACACAACTAAACACTTTCGGTATGTGTGGATGTGATTAACACTACTTCCTTGCAAACAAATCCCATCTTGGAATTTCTTCAAAACCCTTCACACCCACTAGGGTTTACACAAACTTGCCCTAAGGTTTCAACTACACACCTAGAGCTTTACAAACCAAGCTCTGATACCATGTTGACTTTAAGATATAATCAAATCAAGAGTAAAGTATAAGAAGAAGAATAAAAAGAGTAGTAGGAGGAGGATAAGAGAGAGAGAGAGAGAGTAAACTATGCATATTTGTATCTCCCTGTTTTTTCATTTTTTCTTTCATTCAATCTTAATTTCAATGTTGTGTATATTCTGTTGTTATTCTACTTGCAGATTATTCTGTTATTATTCTACTTAATCGGTACTTTTGTATCCCATTACCAATCTAAATTATGAACGTAGCTTATAAAAGAAGGAAACAAGATAGTACCAATGGTGGTCCTTTGAATTGCCGTATGGGTCTCGGTTGTTCTCCACAAAATTGTGATATTCCCATAGGTTGCCATTTTCTATTGCCGCTGGTTATGCACGATTTCATTAGATTTTTTTATTTTATTTTGTTTACAAGTAAGATTCTATTAAAGTTGCTGAAGAGGGGAGCGCTCCCAAGAGAATACACAAATAGCCGAAAATGGTTTAACAATAATTTATTCCTTACAGTAGTTGTAATGCTTTAACAATAATTTATTCATTAAAGGTGCTTAAGAGGGGAGCGCTCCCAAGAGGGGATGTTGTAATGCTTTTGGATAGCAAAATTTTGGTAATACACTTGACCACACTTTGAGCTTGACAACTTTTTGGAGACAAATAATCATTCTTCAATATCCATTGTTTGTTTAGTATTGGCCTGACTTTTTACTTGGTTGTTGATGCATAGCCATATAACAAGAGAACATAATGGGAGAACTTAAACAAAATATCGGAACTCCCTTGTTTGCTGTTTTGGAATTTAACTCTAGATTGCTGGCATTTTGTTGTAATCTCTATTTTGACTTGACAACTTTGCCTTGGAGTAAATTTTTGACTCAGCTTACCCTTTAATCACTCATGTAATTTGACTGGCTTTATGATTATGCATACCAATTGCAATTTCCAAACAAGTACTTGCTAGTTGTTGAAGGCTTCGAACTTTTGATTAAAAAAAAAGATATCTTTTGAATAGAATTTGAAGGATCGAGACTTGTGTTCAGTTCTAAGTTATATAAACCTAATAGTTATTTTTGCTCATCTTTCATTATTACTGATAATAATCCTATTTTCTCGAGTCCTTTGGCAGCTGCTTAATGATACAGACAGCAACTTTTACTTGCTACTATTATCTGTACCTTGTCTATTTGTATTTCTACCTTTGTTTATTATGTAATTGGGATGCTTCTTCTGCCTTGTCATTGCTAGAAACGTTTTTTGTCTTTTGATGTTGCACAATATTTACATGGCATTGATTCTCTCTTTATCATGTGCTGATCAGGCTCGGCTGATTCAGGATGATGAAAACTTTCATCCTTGTGCTCGGCTGATTCAGCTGGTGAATCAAGGTAAGATATGAAGCAATCTAAACATTTATGGTGCAAGTTTTTTTTTAAAACTTAGTTTCTTTTATCTGAATTGGATTCAGTTCAATTAAATTAGCGATCAGGCTCTCTAGAAACTGATTGAAATATATCAAGTTCTGAATTTGGCAGAGGTAAACAGTCTCTTTAGTTGGGAGACCATTTTTAGGCTGGTATACCATTTATAATGTCTATGACTAACAAAAATCTAGATACTGATTAGATACTACTCAGCATTGAAGTCTGGCATCACTCTTCTTTAGTGGGAAATTTGGTAACATCTTGAATGGATCCTTCATCTGCTTATTTCTGTGCATTTTGTCATTGGTGCTTTGAGAGTTTAACGTATAGTACAGCATACTAGTATCTCTTTTCAAATGAAAGGTCGAGAGTTCAATCCCCCCCCCCGCCCTCCCCCTTTTTTTTTTTTGGGGGGGGGGGGGGGGGGGGGGGAGGGGGGTTTGGGGTTTGTTTGAGTGACTTGCATACCAAATATATACACATATTATAGCATCAGTTGCGGTCCTTTTTCCCTAGTTCATCAGATGCAGTATTAGGCTGGATTGTCATTTAATGATTCCTCTTTTAATCATATTTCAGAGAAGTCATTACCAGCTCTGGATGAAGCAAAGCTGTCTGTACCAAGGGACGTGCTGAAACAACCGTTAAGCATCCCTGTTTCCAAGGAGGCGATGCACATGCCAGAAACAAATACGGAAACTGAAGGGCATGCTGGGGAAGACCTTTATTATCGCGAGGATTCCTCAAAGAAGATGAGAACTGGTGGAAGCATTTCCATAAATTCTATGTGCTCTGACACTTTAGAAGCCGCAATTATGGATTTGGAGGAACTTGCAAATAGGGTCAAATGGCTTAGGAGCATTCTAGAATTTGGAATTCCTTTGTCCAATGCCGTGAGACCTCCATGGAAGTTTGTGGAACACCGTGCATCATCTGCACCAAAATGAGTGATTAAAGAAACGCAAGTATGTATATTTCTTGGCTCTTGAGATGTGATTTATATTTGTGTGGATTGGTACACCATATTCTATGCCATATTTTTGACACTTCAATCTTACCATTATTTCTATCATTTTTTACTAGGTTGCATTGCTAATTCACCTTGGGTTGCATGTAATTCATCTTTTTGTGTTTTATGAGAATATAATGATCTGAACAGTTCCTTGTTCATGGTGTATGCTCGTGTAAAATAATGCAACACAACATTACAAATTAAGATCTGCATTATGGAAAATTCTATAAGGTGCTGTTTGATAAAACTGAAAATTAAGTGCTGAAAATTTCAAGAGTTAAATTTTAAGTGCTAATATAAATTGAGAATTTCTTTAATACTACTACAAATTTTAAGTGTTCAGTGACAAGTGAAGCCCCCCTCACTTGAAAATTTACCCCAATTTTTATTGCAAAAGTAGGAGCCACACTGCGTTATCAAACACTTTAAAGTACTTTTGTATTGAGAATTAAGTACTAAACTAAGTCATCAAACGGATATTAAATCTGGATTATCATTTTGTATAACATCGAATCAGGAAGTAAAAATCTTATGTCGTCGTCGCTATCATCATCATCCTTGCCTTTATCCCGTACAAAGGGGGTTGGCCACATGGATTCTCATTATCCACTCTTTTCTATCTTAAGCCATATATGCTACTAGACATAATTTTTTATAATCATTTCTTATCACTTCATTCCATGTTAGTTTTGGTCGACCTCTTTTTCTCTTACCCTCTATGAAAATCAATCTCTCTCCTCTCGGGTGCATCTATAGAATATGTCCATACCACCCACGAGAGTTAAATAACCTAATTATATAATCTCTTCAACCACAAATTTAATGTCAGAAGATTAAAGAAAATTTTGGAGAGAATTGAAATGTACCTACTAGTAGCCATGGTATGAGCTTCCTGTTGTATATGTGCATAGCTATTTACTCAAATTTCCTAGATGCTTCCCACGTGTGGATATATTTGTGTATATTGCACATGTTCATAAATATGGATCTTTTTAAACCTTCCTTTAAACTGTTTTCTGGGGCAGGTTAATTATTTACCTACGTTTGGCTGGAGGAAGTTTCCTTTTTTTTTTTGTTTTTTGTTTATTTTTTTAATTAAAAAAACTTGTGATTGAGGTCTTTGTGGTCATTTAACATGAAAACTAATTTCTCCTTTTTCTGCTCTTTGATCCTTTTAGAAGTTTTCCTGGGATTTTGAATTATGCAGCTCGTTATCCCATGTGAAACAGATCCGTTATGATCTACAACCTAGTCTATCTTGAAGCAATGAATATAGGTTTATGAGACGGTAAAGGGTACACACGGGTGGGTTGTGTGCATTTTTTATATCTTTCAACATGATATCAGAGTAGGTTTATCTGTTGAAAAAGAGATATTTGGTTTTAATAAGACCATGTTTTAGGGGATATGATAGGCGTGTAAATATAGATAGTCAATGACCAGATTTTAGGGGATATTTTAGTGTATAACCTATAGCTTCTATTAGTGCACAGCCTGTAGCTTCTGTTAGTATACAGCCTGTAGTTTGCTGTCACAGCTTGTAGTCAGCTTGTAGTTTCCTATTTTTAGCCCCTTGTATGTCCTATTTAACTAAAGCATTGTAAACCATTCAAAGGAAGGCAATATACAGATTTTCTTTCAATCTTGAAATCGCCTATTTGGTATCAGAGCATCTTACCGATTCTTCTGAAAAAAAAACCCCTAGCTGTTCCTTTTTTTTTTTCTCTTCCAAACAACTCTAATCACCATGTCTGATGACATACCCGAGTCCAAGACCAAGACCTTTGAGTCCCAAGTCCAAAACTCTCAGACACACTCGGTCCAGATTACCACAATTCGGCTAAATGGTGAAAACTTCCTTCGCAAATCCCATGGGCGAGTGCTCTGAACTCGGCTTTTGCACTACTCCTCGCTACTACATTTTGTTTCTTGCTTCGCCACGTGACTAAAGTTATCAAATGGTGCTGTTGAGACCTCTGCCTTGGTCGCATCTGAAGCGAATATTGGCAGGAAACATAATGAAAAGCCCCGTCTTTGGTGTGACCACTGCAACAAGCCTCACCATACCCGTGAAACCTGCTGGAAAATTCATGGTAAACCAGCGAATTGGAAGAGTAAGCAGGAAGGCAGATTCAACCAGGAAGGCAGATTCAACCGAGCCCCATCAGCTTATGAAGCCGAGGCACTTCCCTTCAGCAAAGAACAGATGGGTCATCTTCTAAAATTGCTGAAATTCAATTCCTCATCTGGTACTCCTAATGTTTCTCTTGCTCAAACAGGTAACAACCCGAAGGCCTTATCTTGTCGTTCAAATTCCAGTGTTACCCCATGGATCATTGATTCAGGGGCTTCTGACCATATGACAAGTTGTTCTCATTTATTTCAAACTTATTCACCCTGTTCTGGCTCTGAAAAAAAAATCAGAATAGCTGATGGTTCTTATTCTCCTATTGCAGGCAAAGGTTTAGTGAAACTTTCAAAAATTATTGATCTTAAGTCTATCCTTCATGTCCTTAAGCTTGCTTGTAACCTTTTATCAGTTAGTAAATTGTCCAAAGACTCTAATTGTCGTGTTATCTGTTTTGAATCCTATTGTGAATTTCAGGACCAGAGCTTGGGGAAGACGATTGGCAGTGCTAAGATGATAGATGGTCTCTACTATTTTGAAGATGATATTTCAAGTAATAAAAAGGCTCAAGGTTTGAGTAGTTTTCGTTCTATCCCTGTTAGAGAACAAATAATGCTATGGCATTTTAGACTAGGGCATCCTAGTTTCCCTTATCTTAAAAAATTATTTCCTTCTTTGTTTAAAGGATTGGATTGTTCATCTTTTTATTGTGAGAATTGTTTTTTATCAAAGAGTCATCGTACTACGTATTCTCCTAAACCTTACCAAACATCAAAACCATTTTATTTAATCCATAGCGATGTTTGGGGCCCTTCTAGGATCACAACTCTTTCTTGAAAAAAATGGTTTGTGACTTTTATTGATGATCATACACGTTTGTGTTGGGTGTATTTAATGAATGAAAAATCTGAAGTTGAAAAATTATTCAAGGATTTTTATATGATGATTGAAAATCAATTTCAAACAAAAATTGGCATTCTTCATACTGATAACGGCACCGAATACTTTAATGAAGTTTTAGGAAGTTTTTTAACAGAAAAAGGAATTTTTCACCAATCCACTTGTGTTGACACACCCCAACAAAACGGAATTGCTGAAAGAAAGAATAAACATTTACTTGAAGTTTCTCGTGCCATCATGTTTTCAATGAATGTTCCTAAGTATTTGTGGGGTGAAGCCGTTTTAACAGCAACATATTTGATTAACAGGATGCCTACTCGTGTTCTTAACTATTTTACACCCCTTGAAAGCCTTAAAAAATCTTTTCCTGAAACTCGGATTTATTCAAACCTGCCTTTGAAAGTATTTGGGTGCACTGTCTTTGTCCATTTACCTAGTAGACTTCGATCTAAATTGGATCCTCGGGCTGAAAAATGTGTATTTGTTGGGTATGCCCCGAATAAAAAGGGGTACAAATGCTTCAATCCGACAACAAAAAAAATGTTTATCAGTATGGATGTTTTTTTTTTCTAGAAAATCATCCTTATTTTCAGAAAACTTTTCTTCAGGGGGAGAAAGAGAGTGAAGAAAATTTTTGGGAGATTTCTACTAATATTCCCTTACCTAAAACTATTGTCTCACACTCTATTACTACAAACACTGATCTTTTTAAACAAGAAAATGATGTTCTAGAATCAGGAAACCCGGGGCCTCCTAGTCCTAATCTGCCGAGCCTTACTGTATCTCCAATAGGGGGAGAAATCCTACCAACGGTTCCAAAAAAACCGAATCCTGAGCTTCTGGTTTATAACAGAAAAAAGACTCATCAAAAGAGTAGAGAGCCTATTATTGTACCTGAGCAAGGCCAATCAGAGGTCTCGAGCAATGACTCCCTGAACACTCAAGGTACTCTAAATCCTAACTTGTCTACAGTTGTCCCTACTATTTCTAATCGTACAGAGACACCTAGCCAAGTTCCTGTAGACCTTGATATCCCTATAGCTGTTAGAAAAGGAATCCGAACCTGTACCCAGCATCCCATTGCCAAATACTTGTCTTATGATAAACTTTCCCATAAACATAGGGCCTTTACTTCAAATATTTCTCACTTGTTTGTTCCAATAAACATTCAGGAAGCACTAGATGATCCGAATTGGAAATCAGCAGTGTTAGAGGAGATGAATGCTCTTAAAAGGAGTGGAACGTGGGAGATAGTTGACTTACCCAAAGGAAAGAAAACTGTTGGGTGTAAATGGGTTTTCACTATTAAGTGTAAAGCTGATGGTAGTGTGGAAAGGAAAAAGGCAAGACTTGTGGCGAAAGGTTTTACGCAAACGTACGGCATTGATTACCAAGAGACGTTTGCTCCTGTAGCAAAAATAAATTCTATCCGAGTCTTATTGTCATTGGCAGTCAATTCTAATTGGCCATTACATCAATTGGACATAAAAAATGCCTTTTTAAATGGAGACTTGGAAGAAGAAGTGTTTATGAGCTTGCCACCTGGGTTCGAAGGAAAACACAGTCAGAGCAAAGTCTGTAAACTCAAAAAATCCCTGTACGGTTTGAAACAGTCTCCAAGAGCGTGGTTTGAACGTTTTGGAAAGGCTGTGAAGAGTCATGGGTATCATCAGAGTCAGGCAGACCATACCATGTTCTACAAACACGGTGAGGAAGGGAAAATTGCCATTTTAATTGTGTATGTGGATGATATAATTTTGACAGGTGATGACATTGAAGAGTTGACCAGACTGAAGAAGAAACTTGCTAAAGATTTTGAAGTCAAAGATCTGGGAGCATTAAAATACTTCCTTGGAATGGAATTTGCCAAGTCAAGAGAAGGAATTTTCGTGAATCAACGAAAATATGTACTTGATTTGCTTAATGAGACAGGACTACTCGGGTGTAAAGCTGCCGACACTCCAATTGAAGTCAACCTGAAGTTAGAAGCTGCCGAACCCGAGAATATGGTTGATCGTGAAAGATATCAGAGATTGGTGGGAGGACTAATTTACTTATCTCACACACGCCCAGATATAGCATTTGCAGTCAGTATGGTGAGTCAGTTCATGCACTCTCCTGGACAGGAACACTTTGAAGCAGTGTACAGGATTCTGAGGTACTTAAAGGGCTCACTAGGTAAAGGACTTATGTTCAAGAAACAAGGTCATTTACAAGTGGAGGTGTACACAGATGCTGATTGGGTAGGCAGTATAGTTGATAGACGATCTACCTCAGGATATTGCACCTTCGTTGGAGGAAACTTAGTCACGTGGCGAAGCAAGAAACAAAATGTAGTAGCGAGGAGTAGTGCAAAAGCCGACTTCAGAGCACTCGCCCATGGGATTTGCGAAGCTATATGGTTAAAAAGACTCCTTGAAGATTTGAAGGTTATTGTTTCTCCTCCAATGAGAGTCTACTGTGACAACAAAGTTGCCATTTCAATTGCTCATAATCCAGTCCTCCACGACAGAACCAAACATGTGGAAGTTGACAAACACTTTATTAAGGAAAAGCTTGACTGTGGTATGATTTGCATTCCTTATGTCTCTACTACTGAACAAGCTGCAGACATCCTTACCAAAGGACTACACAAGAAACAGTTTGAAGTTTTAAGAAGCAAGCTAGCAATGGAAGACATCTACAAGCTAGCTGGAGGGGGAGTGTTGAAAAAGAGATATTTGGTTTTAATAAGACCATATTTTAGGGGATATGATAGGCGTGTAAATATAGATAGTCAATGACCAGATTTTAGGGGATATTTTAGTGTATAACCTATAGCTTCTATTAGTGCACAGCCTGTAGCTTCTGTTAGTATACAGCCTGTAATTACAGCCTGTAGTTTGCTGTCACAGCTTGTAGTCAGCTTGTAGTTTCCTTTTTTTAGCCCCTTGTATGTCCTATTTAACTAAAGCATTGTAAACCATTCAAAGGAAGGCAATATACAGATTTTCTTTCAATCTTGAAATCGCCTATTTTATCATACCCTACTTTATACTCTCCTTGTTTCAGATCTTCGAATCAACTCGTCTTGGATCTTCGGATCAACTCATTTTCGGATCTCCGGATCAACTCGCCTCGGATCTTTGGATCAACTTGTCTTGGATATTCAGATCAACTCGTCTCAGACTCTCGACAACTCCTATTTAGTTTCAAGTTGGACACTTGAGTTAAAATATCCTTGTACCAACTTGGGTGGGGGGGGGGGGGGGGGGTGTTGGAGAATATCATAGGGGTGATTTTAGCTTATTATAGAATATTGATTGGAGTGATTTATGTAATTGATTTTAGGAATCCTCCATCATTGTATTTCCATATTTATCACTTGTATTTTTTCATTCACCTGTAAATAGAGGTGCTGATTGTAAACAAGATTAAGAGATAATATAACAAAAGTGATGTAGCCATTTGGGCTTTGTGTGTTGTGTTCTTCATGTATAATTTCTCTCTTCAAATTTTATATCTTTCAACAAGGGTTATATGCATTCTGCACCAAACAGAAAATGAAGGCGGCCCACTTACTACTGTTGAGGAAGACTATGATTACTTCAATCTGCGTTGAAGCCTAGATTCTAATGGAGAATTTGGGAGAATTTTGGGAAATTATTATTAAAATGATAATATATAAAAATTATATTGATAGACTTGTTGCGGCAGATTAAAGGGGCTGTTCTTTTATAATACAATCAATAATGTATAGTCTTTCTTTGGCGGACTTTAGAATCTCCATTCAGCTTTAATAACACCTTTTTAGTTTCCTAAATAATAACTTAGTAATTCAAAGCAAGCTTAATTACTACTTGTTCAAATAAAAAATGACTATTATACTTCTTCAACAAACTTTCTAAGACAGGATTAATTATTTGCACAACACATATATACATATGTAATTATGTAGGTATGTGTATATATTGTATAGGGCACTCATGTATGAGCATATATTTGAATGCTTTTACATGAATATGAATACAAATATTTTGACATTATTCTGTATGCATCTATGCATGTGTATTATGCACATATTGTTGACTTTAAGAGATAATCAAATCATTCAAAGATTTTTCAAATGTGCCATGAGAATAAAAATCCTGAAAAGTACTCATCACCTCCTCTCGCACCACCTCCCAACTCTCCTTAAAAAAGCGCATAGTAAATCCGTCTGGCCCTGGTGCTTTGTCCCCGTTGCAACTAGAAAGTGCCTTAAGCACTTCCTCTTCCGTGAATGGAATCTCAATACTATCCCTATCCATCGCAGAAATAGTATTAAATGGAAGACCATCAAGAGTAGGTCTTCGATCCAAAGTTTCAGTGTAAAGCTGCTGGTAAAAAGAAGCAATTCCTCCGCGCACATCTTCTTCTCTCCACAAATCAAAACCATTAACCCGAATACTTCCGATATGATTACACCTTCTGTGAGCATTGGCCAGTCTATGAAAGAATTTTGTATTCCGATCACCATCTTTTAACCACAAAGCCCGAGACTTTTGACGCCACGAAATCTCCTCCATATGAGCAATCTCAGCAAAAACCGCTTGACAAGAGGCTCTTTGAGAGCGTAAAGACTCCCTACTCTGTCCCACCTCAGCTAAACGATCAAGCTCAGCAATATCAGCAAGGGCTCTATTCTTTTTCCATTCAAGATTCCCAAAAACTTCTTTATTCCATCTCTTAAGCTCAGTTTTAAGAAACTGAAGCTTTCTAGCTAACACATAACTAGCAGAGCCTGTGAAAGACCCTTTTTGCCACCAAGACTGAACCTTCCCTTGAAAGTCTTCAGATCTAAGCCACATGTTTTCGAATTTGAAAGGAGTGCGTCTAGACCTCAAACCACCACAATCCAAAACAAGAGGTACATGATCAGATGTGACTCTAACCAACACAGCCTGAGAGACATCCGGGAAATGCTCTTCCCAAGCCCCAGAAATCAGGAAACGATCCAATCGAGAAAAAGTAACCGGTTCCCTACCATTAGACCAAGTAAAAGCCGCTCCTTCCAACGGAAGATCGATAAGAAAATTATTGTCAATAAATTCTGAAAACATGGTCATTTTTGAAGACCACCTACCTCCTGTGGATCTCTCAAATGGGGATCTAACAGAGTTAAAATCCCCACCTAAGCACCAAGGCAATGACCATAAATCCTTAACAAAGCAAAGCTCTTCCCACAGGACTGGTTTATCACTATCAGTAACAGGCCCATACACACCTGAAAACGTCCATTTGAAATTGTCTTCTTCCATCTGAAACATGCATGACACCGAGAAAATACCCTTCCAACAGTTCAAACTTGACAACCATCTACGATCCCACATGAGGAGAATACCACCTGAAGTGCCTGTTGCATTTAAAACTTCAAAGTCCACAAACCTACATCCCCAAAGACTCCTGACAATCTCAACAGTAATATCAGCCAATTTAGTTTTTTGTAAGCAGACAACATGAGCACTCCACTTCCTCAATATAAGCTTATTGCCAAGGTTCTTGTTTCCAGGATGAGTAAAGTGTTGGATGGTCTTATCTTAGAATCGCAGAACGCTTTTGTTGGTGGAAGGCAGATTTTGGATTCTGTTCTTATTGCTGGGGAATGTGTTGACTCTAGATTAAGAAGCGGGGTTCCTGGCGTTTTGTGTAAGCTTGATATCGAGAAAGCTTATGATCATGTTAATTGGAAGTTTGTTTTATATCTTCTTCGGAGGATGGGATTTGGTGATAGATGGATAAAATGGATTGACACTTGTATCTCATCAGTTATGTTTTCTGTTCTTGTGAATGGCTCTCCTGCGGGTTTTTTTGCTAGCTCACGTGGTCTGCGACAAGGTGATCCATTATCTTCTTTTCTTTTTCTCATCGTTATGGAAGGTCTGACTAGATTAATGAGAAAAGCGGAAGATTTGGGTTACATTAGGGGGTTCAGAGTTGGCAGAGATGTTGATCATCAGATCCAGATTTCCCATCTTTTATTTGCTGATGATACTTTGGTATTTTGTGATGCTGATATTTCTCAACTCAGATATCTGAGGTGCACTCTTGCTTGCTTCCAAGCAGTTTCTGGGCTTAAGATTAATGTCGGAAAGAGTGTGCTTGTTCCAGTGGGGGATGTTCCAGATATTTCCTCCTTAGCTGCTGTTTTAGGGTGCTGAGTTGGTTCTTTTCCTCTTCCTTATTTAGGATTGCCTTTGGGAGTTTCTTCTACTCTGGTTGGGAATTGGGACTCAGTGATTAATAGATATGAGAAAAGATTAGCAGGATGGAAAAAGCAGTATCTATCTAAGGGTGGGAAAGTCACACTTATAAAGAGTACTCTTTCATCCCTTCCTACCTATTTTTTATCTTTGTTTCAAATTCCATGTTCTGTTGCTGATAGAATTGAAAAAATTCAGAGGGATTTTCTGTGGGGTGGAAGGGGAGAGGAGTTTAAGTATCATCTTGTTAATTGGGATCAAGTTTGCCAACCATTGAGATTCGGAGGGTTAGGCATTCGAAAAATTGTTCCTTTTAATCGTGCTCTCTTAGGAAAGTGGTTATGGCGATTTGGAAGGGAACGACATCATCACTGGAGAAGAGTTGTCTCGTGTCGTTTTGGTGAGGGGAGTGGGGGTTGGTCATCTCTTCCAGTCACTATTACGGGAGGCGTTGGTTTGTGGAAATTTATTCGGAAGGGATGGGATGTTTTCTCTACTCTTATTAGATTCAAAGTTCGTAATGGCAGGCATGTTCGTTTTTGGGAGGATCTTTGGTGTGGCGACCAGTTGCTTTCACACTCATTTCCTAGGCTTTATAGCATTGCAACTAATAAGCATGTTTTCGTGATTGATTGTTATCATCTTGATAACAATGGAGTTACGTGGGATGTGCGGTTTAGGCGGTCTTTTCAGGATTGGGAAATGGAGGAAGTTTATGCTTTTTTGGATATTTTGTATAGGCAGAAGGATATTGGCAGAGGGTGTGATGATATTTTGTGGGTTCCTTTGGCTCATGGTCGGTATGATGTCCGCTCTATGTTTATTCATTTATCCAATTTCGTTGGTTCCGAGTTTCCTTGGAAGTCCGTGTGGTGTTCTAAAGCCCCTCTTCGAATCGCGTTCTTCGTTTGGACAGCCACATTGGGGAAGATTTGACTTTGGACAATTTGAGAAAGAGAGGCAACATCATTGTTAATTGGTGTTGTTTATGCAAAGATGATAGTGAATCCGTGGATCACATTCTTTTGCATTGTCCTGTGGCGTTTGGTTGTTGGAGTTTTATTTTCAGCATTTTCGGCATTTTTTGGGTAATGCCTAAGCACTCCTCTCAATTGATTAACGCTTGAAAAAGCTGTCCTGTTAAGAAACAAGCTCGTGCTTATTGGAAGATTGCTCCTCATTGTGTCTAGTGGTGTTTGTGGCGTGAGAGAAATAACAGATCCTTTGAAGGAAAAGAATCGTCCTTAGCTAATTTAAAAATTCATATTCTTCGTTCTTTATTCTTTTATGTTAGAGGAAGTACATGCTCCTCGATTGATGATTTCTTTGATCTCTTGGATTCTATTGGTCCTTAGATCTTTTCTCTTGTATTAGGGATGCGTTCCCCTTTTGAACGTTTTTCTAATATATTTTTACTTATCAAAAAAAAAAAAGAAGAGATAATCAAATCAAGAGTAAAGTATAAGAAGAAGAATAAATAAAGAAGAAAGAGGATGAGAGAAAAAGAGAGAGATGGGGAAAGAGAGGAAGAATGAAAGAATACTTTCATCCTTCCACCACATTCTATTTATGCTAGCAAGTTTCAGAAATTACACATAATCCCCAATATTATATAAGTAATAACAAATAAGCCCTTGACAACACTCCCCCTCAAGCTGGTGCAAAGATATCTATCATGCCCATCTTGACTTACATATTTTGCAAGCAAGTCTTGCTCACACCCTTAGTTAAAACATCAGCAACTTGATCATGTGTGTTGACGTATGGAGTACAAATCAGCCCAAGACGAAGCTTTTCCTTGATGAAGTGTCGATCGACTTCAATGTGCTTTGTCCTGTCTTGTTGAACTGGATTGTGGGCAAGGCTAATAGCAGCTTTATTGTCACAATACAACTTCATTGATTCGCAAACAAGATAGCCCAACTCACCTAACATCGTTCTTAGCAATAACAACTCACAAACTCCTCCATGTGCCATGGATCTGAACTCCGCCTCTGCACTAAATCTAGCTACTATAGACAATTTCTTGCTTTGCCATGAATCAAGATTACCTCCAACAAACATGTAATATCTTGAAGTAGATAGTCGATCTGTCACAAACCTTACCCAATCAGCATCAGTATAGGCTTTAACACGCAGGTGTCCATGATGGCCAAATAATATCCCCTTACCAGGTGAACCCTTGAGGTAGCGAAGAACATGATGGGCTGCCTCAAGGTAGGGTGTATGTGGAGTATGCATAAACTGACTAATATGCATAAACTGACTAATCACACTCACTTGGCAATATCCAGACGCATGAGAGAGAGGTAAATCAGTCTCCCAACCAATTGTTGAAATCTTCCCACATCATCTAATGGGTCTCCATCTACATCATTAAGCCTATGGTTCTGCTAATGGGAATATCAATAGGTTTAGCTCCAAGCTTGCCTGTTTCAGCCAACAAATCTAACACATACTTTCGTTGAGAAATGAACACCCCTTTCTTCGATATGCACACCTCGATGCGAAGAAAGTATCTCAATAATCCGAGGTCTTTAACCTCGAACTCTATCCCCAAGAATGACTTCTGTACACAAAGTTGAAAAAGAATAAATTATGGTATTCTCTTTTTATATATCATATTTTAGTTTACAGGCCTATATATATAGGAAGTGTATTACAAATTCTATCTAAGGAAAAGATATATACAAATCATAATTTAAAAAAAGTCAACTATCTAACTATGGATAATTCCTAAAAATCCTCCCTAACTAATTTTCTAACAATTCAGCCTAGATCTTTCCACACTTCCCCCTCAAGCTGGCTCGAAAAAATATCTTGCATTCCGAGCTTGCATATAAGATTGTCAAATTTCCCCTTCGGTAATCCTTTAGTGAGGATATCTGCTACTTCTTCCTTTGTAGGAATATAGGGCGTACATATCATTCCTTCCAATTTCTCCTTAATAAAATGTCGATCAACTTCCACATGCTTAGTCCAATCATGTTGGACAGGATTGTGAGCTATGTTGATTGCAACTTTATTATTAGAGTAAAGCTTCATAGGCATCGGACTTGAGATTTTAAGATCTTCAGGTAATCTTTCCAGCCACAAAAGTTCACAAATTCCATGTGCAACTGCTCTGAACTCAGCTTTTGCACTACTCCTTGCTACAACGGTTTGTTCCTTGCTCCTCCAAGTTACCAAGTTTCCACCAACATAAGTACAGTAACCTGAAGTAGACCTTCTATTTGTTACACTACCTGCCCAATCAGCATCGGTATAGGCTTCAATCTTTAGATGGCTGTGGTTTTCAAACAACAAACCTCTTCCAGGGGATCCCTTTAGGTATTTGAGAATCCGGTAGACTGCCTCAAAGTGTTCTTCTCCTTGTGAGTGCATAAATGACTCACTACACTCACGGCAAAGAATATCTGGCCAAGTGTGTGAAAGATAAATGAGTCTGCCAACCAGCCCTTGGAATTGCTTTCGGTTCACCACTTTTTCTGCACTTGCTGCCTTCCACTCAGAATGATTCAAGGCCTCATCTCTTCCATAAGTTTTGATCTTATCAAGAGCCCTCATCTCTTCCATACCTGCTACCTTCCACTCAGCATGATTCAAGGCCTCCTGTATAGTTCTAGGAATTGAAACACTAGAGAGATTAGTGGTAAAAGCTCTATAATTTGGAGACAATCTATGGTAGGACACATATTTAGCAATAGGATGCATGGTACAAGAGCCCGTACCCTTTCTAAGTGCAATAGGAAAATCAAGGTCACGAGAAAGGCCCTCTTCATTGCTGGTTTCAGGAATTAAAGATGGAATACCTATTTCATTCAAGTTGCCTTTATTCGGAGAATTTTTTTGGCAATTTGCTGGTTTTCCATGTAGTTTCCAGCATGTTTCTCGCGTGTGCCTTGGTTTTTTACAGAAATCACACCAGATCTTGGTTTTCTCTTCAATCTTCTGATGTGGGTGATTTGTTGGTTTCGGATTAACTGCAGCTGCTGCCATTTCAGTGGTTGTTACATTGAGTGTAGAGTTCTCACTATGAGTGCTAGAAGATTTCTTTCCCATCATCACCAACCTGCGGTTCTCTTCCCTCCTAACTTCCGAGAAAACTTCTTTAGTGGTAGGCAGTGGCTCTTTGCCTAGAATACGTCCTCTCACTTTGTCTAACTCAGCATTGAGTCGAGCCAAAAATTCAAAAACAAGGTTGTTCTCAACTTTTTTTTTGAACTGGGCACTATCACCTGCACATTTCCATTCAAAATCATAAAACAGGTCAAGTTCTTGCCACAAACCTTGTAATATGTTGTAATACTTTGTAACAGTATGATCTCCTTGTCTTGTTTCTCGGATCCTTGTTTTAATTTCGTAGACTTGTGCGGAATTGCCTAAGTATGTGTATGTCTCACTCACTGTGTCCCACAATTCTTTGGGAGTGGAGAGATACATAAATGTCTGGCCTATCTCCGATTCTATGGAGTTCACTAGCCATGACATAATCATGGAATTTTCTGCATCCCAAACGGCGTATGCTGGATCATCTTCCTTTGGGCCCTACTTTGCACTAGTTAAATAACCAATCTTCCCCTGCCCCCAGACGAACAACTTTACGGATTGAGACCACCGTAGAGAATTCTGTCCATTCAGCCGATGAGTGGTAATTTGGAGGATTGGGTTGTCATATAAACCAAATGAAGTGATTTGGGATTTCTGAGCATTTGAAGAATCGGCCAAAACTTCCTCAGTGGAGATTCCAGACATCGCGGATTTAACCAAAGAAATGATCCAGAAACGACGAAGAGAAATATAAGAATAAGTCTTCTATAATTCTAGTATAAACGATCAGAATTAACGATGAATATTTGCTAATTTTATCAGATAATCAGCAGAACAATGCAGTAATTTACTGTCCTAATGAGGGCGGCTTTGATACCATGAACACAAAGGTGAAAAAGAATAAGTTCTGATATTCTCATTTCATATATCATATGTTAGTTTACAGGCCTATATATATAGAAGTATATTACAAATTCAATCTAAGCAAAAGATATATACAGATGATAATTTTAAAAAAGTCAATTATCTAACTATGGATAATTCCTAAAAATCCTCCCTAATTAATTTCCTAACAATTCAGCCTAGATCTTTCCACATCTTCATTCAATGAATCTCTTCTGGATCATTTCCAGTGGTAACAATATCATCAACATATACAATAAGGGCAGTGGTGCAACCCAGGTGCTTCTTTTGATGAAGAGAGTATGATCTGCATGACTCTGTGTGTACCCTACTCTTTTCACAGCAGTGTTGAATCTCTCAAACCAAGCACGTGGCGACTTCTTTAAGCCATGCAAGGCTTTATTTAGCTTGCACACTAAATTCTGACCTTGTGGCATAGTTATATTCACCTCTTCCTCCAAGTCACCTTGAAGGAAAGCATTCTTTACATTCAGTTGATGTAAAAGCCAATTCAAATTAGCTGCCAAAGAAAGAAGGACACATATAGAGTTCATCTTGGCAACTGGATCAAATGTTTCCGAATAATCAATCCCATAGGTCTGAGTGAAGCCCTTTGCAACTAACCGGGCTTTATATCTCTCAATTGTTCCGTCTGCATGATACTTTATTGTGTAGACCCATTTGCAGCCTACTGGTTTCTTACCCCTAGGTAATGGAACAATATCCCAAGTACTATTATTCTCAAAGGCCTTCATCTCTTCAAGCATGGCTCCCTTCCATAGAGTTTGACTGAGAGCATCTGAAACACTAGAAGGAATAGATATAGAGGATATACACAAAGGGAAAGCACAATATGTTGGAGATAAGGCATCATAGGATACAAACTGGGATATGAGATGTTTTGTAAAACTATTAACACCCTTACTATAGGCAATAGGGACATTAAGAGCAACAAGAATGCTATTGGGAAAAACAATAGGAGT